TCAGTGACTGAATCAGGTGTGTTGGAGCCAGGAAAAACGTAAAACATGTAGGGCTGCGGCCCTCGAGGACCAGGATTGCCCACCCCTGTGTTAAGAGAAGCATTCAAAGATTTTTTTGTTGTTGCACGTTTCATAAAGTGATTCATTAGATATTGTGAGAACAGACAAATATACAAACACACACACACACGCACGTTTGTTCTTCTATTCTCATGAAGACTTTGCGTTAGTTTCCATTCATTTACCGGTCATTTTTACAGCCTAACCCTGACCCACCAATAATAATCCCCCCGACGGGGACAGGACTTTTGTCCCCATAAAAGACAGTGGGTCCTCTCACCAGGTGTGTACCAGGAAAATGATCAAAAATGGTTCCCACCAGATAACAAAAACATGTACACACATTCACACGGGCAAAACAGGCAGGTCGTTTTCATCATATTTTTCATCATGTTCAGTCCAAGCATACAAATTAAATTGTAGAATTTGTGTAATGAAGAAGTTACTTCTAGCACAAAGAAACTGTCATATTTAAGTTGATCTTTTTCTGCACTCTGCCAAGTAATTGAGGCGTCTGGTGAGAGGAAGGAGAAGAAGAAGAAATTGTGGCTGTGCGTCATCTTCTGCCCCACTTTCCATTGTCGTCTCCTTTCGTGGTGGCTTTTAAAGCAGCAACCCATTTTTATCAAAGCCTCACCTAAAGCTAACAAGAACCCGAACCTCTCCCAGTCCCAGTCCCGGCAAAACGCACAGACGTGGGTGACACAAAGCACACGGCTCGCTGGGGAACTCTTGGGTGGGTGGGTTGGGGGGGTGGGGGTAAGAGAGGACTTTGACAAAGTGTGTGAGCTCAAAGCCACAGAAGCAGTCCCTCAGTCTTTAATGTGTTTCTGTTTCGAGATGTCGCAGTTTCTGAAGGTGGTGGATGGAAAAAAAAGTTGACTTCATATTAGAACTGTTTGCAGGTTGGGACAATCACCTGTTTTGATTTTTATTTAGAAATGCACACTGAAAGCCAAAGATGGAAAATGAAGGCTTTTTTTTGTCTCCCAAGGCAAATTAAAGGCCCAGCATTTCTTGAAGAAATGCACATTGCCTGCCGCCTTCCATAGTTTTAGAAAACCCAAGTTGTTTTGATCCTCTGTGGATCATTTTAAGTTGATTTGCCAAACCCGTGTGCCATATTCAGTTGAATGACTCTGCTTCTACAACGTCTCAATATCCACAAAATTGACTGAATTATATTAATTTGAGTTTTAAGGTCAGTTGGATGTGCAGCTATCTTAAATCCTTGACTCTAAAAGGCAATTAATGTTAGATTTACACCCAATGAACTTTTACAGCAAGCTTCATCCAGTGATCCATGAAATATTTTGCTAACAGACACTCAAACGTGTAAGCAATAACATCTTCTACATTTGGTTTTCCAGCTGCAGGTGATAATAAAGCCAGAAAACTGTGACAGAACACATGAAATATCAAATAACGGTGATAGAAATTTTATGGTATGGGCTCGTTTTAAAAAAAATCTCTTTTAGGTGAATCAGTGCAGCTCTTTAGGGCCTAATTTTCTTTTTTTTTTAAGTGATCATCTTATAGAGAACTGCTAATGTAAATCCATCAAGGTCATAGAGGAAAACCTGAATAGCTGTAATCTTCATTAATGTGAAATGAATGGAGAATACGCAGGCCAGAATGACAAGTGCAGGAGCGCCTCGAGGTGTGTGTGTGTTTGTGTGTGTGGTGGAGAGTTTTCGTAGAATACTGATAACGGAGTTTCAGAGCAAAAAGTAGCAATATTTGCTGTTTAGCTTTATTTCCTGTCTGAAAATTTCTACTTTTATCTCATACGCCATTGTACTATAAAAGGCCGTGCACACACTTACACTCAGGCACCAGCTGCAGAGACATGAAATATATCCTACTGTAAATAAGCCTGAACAGGAACACTTTAAGAGGAGCAGCATTATGCATAGTCTCGCCCCAGGTGTCTCCCATTGGTGTAGCTTCAGATGACTCCATGTAGGCCAAAGTGTGAAGAAGAGAAGAGAGGTTTTATTGCATTAACACCCACCGCATGTACCTTTTTCTTCCTCTTCTTGTTGTTTTTCTTCACTTCTCCCTTGCAAGTCACCTGTGTCATGAGCTGTGGTGAAGAAAAGAAAAATTTTAAAAAAGAGAGGATGTCGCGTAATGGAGGCTGACTGATGGGATATATAGAGAAAAGGGTGCATTAATAAAGCATCAGAATTAATTAAAATTCCAAGCAGAGTGTTGGCTTTGGAGAGGGTGATGGTAGGAAACAATTTGGTTGCCAGATTGGTATAACCTACTATCCATGTGGGTTTGTGTTGCTGCCTATGAAGCATCTGCAAAGTGAACTTATACAGAACTGTTACTGCAACTGTCCTTTTTTCAGATCTCACACATTCATTTGTCAAACCTTATTTTTTACATTTTATTTTTGCATTTTTTTAACTGAAATAAAGTGCATTTGTTCTCAATCAGTTCTCTTCCTTTCCTCTTGTGTTGCCAACAGCCAGACCCACAAGGCCGGGACATCGCCATCCGTCCCTTCTTGGAGCACTGTGAGAACACCCACATGACCATTTGGCTTGGCATCGTCTATGCCTACAAGGGACTGCTAATGGTGAGAGAACACATAGTCTGACACAAAATCCCCGTCTGGACACATGCATTAGTACCCACTTACACTCTGTACCAAACTGATATGCTGTTGGAACGTATCTGCTGCTGTGACTCTTTATAAACATTGATTCATAAAGCTCAGTACCTTCTTTTTTAAATTAAGTATATATTCTAGAATTGTTACATACATGACTCTCTGCAGACTCAATTCAGCCTTAAAATCAGTGTAAAAAAACTTTTTTGTGCCATCCTATCCAATTGTTCAAATCATAAACAAAAAAAATACAATTTAATAAGCTGCTCTAGCAAAGAAAATAGGCTTTGGAAAATTAAAATAAAATAAACCAGATTGTTGCCATTTAAATTACTATAATGAATAATACTTTTAATAATGTTAATTAACTCTGATTAATTTATTTCACCATAATTATCAGTCAGACTGATTTACTCC